TTCATATTGTTGCATTTCAAAGTGATCAATGTTGTTTATCAGACAAGTGGAATAAGTATTTGTGAATAGCCTTTAACCATGTCTGAAGAGTATCCAGAGAATGCCATCTCTCGCTCTCCAGGCACCCACAGTACAATTACTTGGAGGAGAATCTGTTGAGGATTTGGCACCTCTACACACTGACCGGCAGCAAAAGGGAATGAAAGAAAAAGGGATTTGACGATATAGAGCAAACTCTTGTAACATCCAAAGCCTAACGCTTACCTTGGGTACGAAACCAATTCAGTTGGGCATTATCGGTTAGGATTCCACCCCCAACAGGTCTGAGTGGGGGTAATCTTTCATTTGTGAACTGTAGAATCATCAAATATTACAAAACAAAAATAGGTCATTCAACCCAAACCTTTTTTCTCTTCATGAGCTATTCAGTTCAATCACACTTTCCTACTTGCTCCCCTACCTTTTAATTTTTTTTAGGATATATTTTATGCTTAAAATACATGCTTTATGCTAACACACGTGTTCAAATCGCTTCACTCTCTGGCACCTCCCTATCTCTCTGACCTCCTCACTCCCCAGTCCATCACTTGGCACCTCCACTCGACTGGCGCTGCCTCCTGCTTGTCCCTCGCACCCTACACCCCACCATCAGAGGACACGCTTTCAGCCACTAAGCCCCCAAAACTCTGGAACACTCTCCCTCAATCCCTCCTCCTTGCCCCCTCTCTCCTCCTTTTCAAGTTCCACCTTAAAACCTTCCTTTCGACTGAGCTTACAGTCACCTCCCTTCCCCCCCCCCCCCCCCCCCCACACCCCGGCTCGGTGTCAGGCTGCACCATTGTTAAGCGCTCTGAGAGGAAGGCACTATATAAGTGTAAGTTGTTGTTGTTAATTCCCTTTTAAAATAATTTATGGCTTCTGCTTCGATTTTGGATTGTGGCAGAGAATTCCACGTTCCAACCACCTCAGTATAAAGAAATGTTTTCAACCTTCTCTTTAATACCGTTTGGGATTACTTTAAATGGATGCCCTGTGTTAATGACCAGTGAACTGCTTCTTCATAATTTTGAAGACGTCCTGTTTGATCACACCCTGACATGAACAGCTATAATACAAGAACTGGATAGACGCGTGTAACTAAAATGGGCTGTATCAAGGGAGCATCTTCTTGTTGCTAGCCGCACACGACAGACCTGTAGCCAATACAACCTGCAGATTCATACTATACATAGATCAGTACCCACACAATAGAACTGCTTGACTTTGTGGTCATCATTATTTGCACATCACCTGCTTGGAGGAATAGATGTTACTTTAATTCCACATTGTAATACCTTTGAATGAAACGTGGAGCAGTGGCTTCATGCACTATAACTAAAGTGGAACAAATGGAACAAAGTGTCTGTGTTACACCGTCAGCCTCGTTTGTCCCTTGCAATGCTTTGGCAGCGAGGCTGCTGCTGTTTGGGAAACCGCTTGTGGAACGTGCTACTGACTCCACAACCGGTTTTCTTTTCCTCAGAAGGTCAAATATGAATAATGAACGTTCAATGTCTCGTTAGAGGCGTCAAAAGAAAATCCTTTCACGATCCGACACTCGCTGAGAAGCACATGAATAAAACATTTTTTGGGTTGACATGAGGATAGATACTTTACCTTTCTAGACCAGAGCTGAAGAGAGGCTCGCAAGGGTGAATCGATGTTGCATGTAAAGGCAACTTCCACGTACTTGTCCTCGTTACAGTACATTATGTCTGTCTACAACAAGAAAAAGGAGGAAAACTGAATCTGAACACTTGCATTGTGGGCCAGCCACATGCCCCCAACTGCGTTCCCATTTACTGCACCTTCTCTGGATGATTTGGTTGCCTCCTGGTGCTGGGAAGTGAAGTGCCTTGATTTTATGGCAGCAAGTGACATGAGGCATTTCAGGCAGATCGCTCATTCATTTCGCTCTTAGTTATTACAAAAAAAGACCTCCAAAAAAAATTTGAAATGGAAAGAAAGAGACAAACATTGATAAGCCTTCTCCTTTTATTTAAAAGTGCAGTCTTGCCTTAAAGGGGATGAGATGCACAGCTCTGAGACATTCATCGGATGTGAGTTGTGTTGAGTGTCTTCTTAAGAGAGCTCCAATCACTACATATTAGGACATACCCAATAATAATTATCATTTATTAAATATTGCTTTTATTGAATAGTGTGGGGCTGAGACCAAGAGTGCAGAACTTCCTCCAAAACATGAATCAAATGTATTCACAGCTAAGGGGGTGAAGCTTTGTAAATCTTTCCCTTTTATTTTGCTGTTCAGTTTGTCGTCGCTATCATCAAAGGGTTTTCAGTCTAAGCAACCAACAAACCTAAAAATAGGCTCTGATTGTCTGGGACCTGCTATATAATCCATGGTCGAAGTTTGAGCCAGCCTGAGGACCTTTCCTTAATGTGCGTCAGGGATGCTGCTGTGAAGCCACGAGGATTACAGGCAGCACTGTGAAATACACTGAAACACTGGAAAACACAACCCTAATAATAGCAGCGGTGAGCACAAAGGGGTGTGTTTATTTCTGTCTGCAGCTTGTCAGTGTCCGTTTATCTTGTATCTTTCATTTGTGGCAAAACCCAGTCTAGCATGTGACGATTCGTAAGAAGGATTGAAAATGCAGACTTCTGCACAGACCTGGAGGTACCTCTCTCTGAGCTGCTGGAAGACGGCTCACTCACTCAGACACCAATCTCTGGTTGGCATCAGATCTCCCTTTGTCTTCTATCAACTTCAAACATTGCGATTGGCGGCAGAGTTATAACCTGAGACTCATTCTGATTCCCACAGGATTCTCTACAAATCCTTTCACCAAACGTTACAGAATCCTTGAATGCTTTCAAGCAGGAATAGATAGATGCTTGAGAGAGGAGAATATTAAAGGAGACTGAGGAGAGTGAGTTTACATTAGGTGGCACATATGGGGGAAAAAACAACAGCGCAAACTTGATGGGCTGATTGACTTGTTTCTGTACTGTAACATTTTGTGGTTTTCTGTCCTTGTATTTCCTTGCATTTGGAATTGATTCTATGCCTTATCATGTCATCAAGACATGTCGAAGCACTTCACGGGATTTACTGTAAAGTGGATTGACTGTGTAATTTTGGGGCGAAATGCCAGTTTGCGCACAGCAATGTCCCTCAAGCAGTCAATTAATGAGTGACCAATTTTATTTGGGGGTTTGTTGGCCAGGACACCGAGAGAAACTCCCTTTCTCTTTTAGATAGTGCCATGGGATCTTTAACATCCACCTGAATAAGTAGACAGGATCTCGGTTTAATGTCTCATCCAAAGGCTGGCACCTCTGATTTGCAACACCCCCTCAGTATCAGTTTACACTATGTGAATCCAAATCCCAACGCACAACCTTCTGATGCAGAGGCGAGAGTGCTAACAGGCCTGTCGATTGCCATGTGGTGAACCCCACACATTCTCTGATACTGATCTCAGTGGCGTTGACCCTATCAGAGTACTGTCACATACCCTGAGCACATTCCGAATCCCTCTTTTAATTGTGTGCCCTGCACAGCAGTGTGTGTATAGCCTGCCATGAGCTGGTGTCACCAGTGATCATTTCAGAAATCACATCTGATTGACACAGCCCAGAGCCTGTGTAGCACAAGGTAATGAGAATAGACACAGGGTTAACTATGGTTTCTCTGTCAAGCGGTCTGGGAGTCTCTTGGGTTAAAACAACAACAACTTGCCTTTCAAGAAGGGTAATGCCTCAGTCAGAGCGCTTGAAGGGTTACACACTGTCCCTTCAACTCTTTGCCCTGGGTTCAAATAGAATTTTGAGAAAGTAGGCTCCCTCTCCTCTTCTCTCTCTCTCATTCTCCTCTCATCCTCTTTTTTTTCCTTTCTGCCTATCTTTTTTATTCATTTTATCTACTGGCAGTCATCTGAACAAGATCAGAGCTTTTCAAGCAGGCAGCAATGTTGGGGTAGGACACGGAAATGACGTACCAGTGCAGTAAAATGGTGCTTTCCTGAGGTTTGGGGGCTAAGACTTGTTATACCCCAAATTGCATCTAATCTTAGCCTGTAAGAGCAACTTGTCTTCAGATTTAAGAATGCAGAGAGTTGTGGAGCAATCTTAAATTCTGCATTTCTTAAAGGAAGTGGCTTCCAGATTAATGGAATAATTTTCTATAATTCTGCATGCTCTTAAATTTTGATTTAAGATGGACCCACAGCTTAAAACTAAGTGGTATTTGAGGCTTGAGGAGCTATACAAATGTAATTTTGTATTGCATTGTTTGGAGAGAGCAGAGGGAGCTTTATTCCACTTTGCTCAGTAGCTGACATTGCTGCACCTAACCCGGGACTGCTTGACGCTAACACTGTGTGACAAGAGCATAAGTAGTAACATCTCTCGCTTTGATAGGTACAAAAATGCACCAAAGTCTTTTAAAAATGAGATTGCAATACTGAATAAAGATAGTGTGGATCCCAGACCAAAGCAATCACTGGTAGTACACACACAGAAGGACTCGCATCTACTTAAATATTGGGACATCCTCTCGACGTGAAAGGCGCTATACAAATGTAATCTTGCTGTTGTATTGAAGCTCCATGCAGTGGCAGTCTTTAAAAGGCGATATTTCTTAATAAGATTCCTAAATTAAGAAATCAAATGTGCGTGCTGCGGATTCAGGAATGCTGTTCCAATTCTATCCACTTTCTGAGCTGGGCTCTGTCAAGATGGTGTGATGTGCGTGACGGACTTATGGTTACCAGAACAAATTACTTTTCAGATTTCTTGATTAAGAAATCCCATTAAGAAATACCGCAAAATTGACCCCTATTTGCCCATAAAATGGAAATGCAATGAATTACGTTCATCATTATCGGTAGAATATTTAAAGGGTGGCTAATGTAAACCACTGAATCATTATAATAATGATACCAAGATTAAATGCAATTAAACCACTGTGCTTGTTTCTTTTCTTTCTGCAGTTTGTTCTCAGTACGCCAGGGGAGTATTTGCCATCTTTGGCATGTATGACAAGAGGTCAGTGCACACGCTGACATCGTTCTGCGGAGCGCTGCACATATCCCTGATCACGCCGAGCTTCCCGACGGAGGGAGAGAGCCAGTTTGTGCTGCAACTGAGGCCATCTTTGAGGGGGGCACTGCTCAGCCTGCTCGACCATTATGAGTGGAAAAAGTTTGTCTTTTTGTACGACACGGACAGAGGTGAGTTTGACCTACGCCTAGTTTGTAAAATGCAGCTGCAACTCAGCGCGAAACCCGGCAGTGATTGAAACGCTCCATTAATATCGCTGTCAATAAAGGAATATCTGTAACTCTTCCAATGTATGTTATGTAATGATGTAACTTTTACAACAGACTGTACTTGTTACAATTCAAATATTATTTGACCGAAATAGAATTTATTTTGAAATGAAAGCATAATTTGTTTTGCTTTGAAGAGGTGTACTATTTCGGTGGTGGGGGGAATGATTAGTCTGTGTTTTCGTTAGAAGAATATCTATTCTCATCTCTTGAATTCGATCACGTCCTTGAAACGTGGTAAGAATCTGCCTCGATTTTTGGTTGATGAAAAACATCAAGTTGTGGTGTGATGAGAGATGTTTCCTGGTCGGAGTCTAAAATTGATGGATGTGATTATTTAACCAGACCACACTTCTGTTGAAGAGGCTGTACTGATATATGTGTGGTAGGTAGTTTGTCAGTAAAATGCTAAATACCAACTCAAGCCAGACCTTATGTGCAGGACGAGATCGCCACCTATTGACAGTAAATCTCTACGTAATAAGATGCCAAGATGGATCATTTTTTTTCTGGAGTCCTTGCAGGTTTGTTCCAAAATATAGATTGAGATCAAAGTGTATCTCCCTATTTCAAATCCCCCCGGGCACCCAGGGAAATAATATGTCGCTATGAATGGAAACAAAAGAAAACAAAGCAGTAATTCAGGAAGCTGCTCACTGTTCGAGCACCAGAATTAATGTGTACAAATAGAGATTGCCTAGTGTTTGTTTAACCACATGAAATTAACAAGCAGGTCATTGCAAATGGTATAAGGAAGGAGGTTTACACTACTCAAAGCAAAGTGAATCAGTGCCGGTAATGTAGTGGTTGATGTTTGGTTATTTGTTGTACACTTGGATGTACAGAGATGTTCCTCTTCCGTGTATCACTTGCCAGTAAGGATTCAGCTCTATTTTATATTGAATACAAAATTGACACCTCCACTCTAGATTTTTGATATCAGGTTAATTACTCATGCCTCCAACTGTTTCAACTGTTTGTGCTGTTTGACTAATGCTCCACTGCTTGAGTCACCGCTGGTTGCTGTTCCTATGTTGTGCTGTGCAGGTTCAATGTAAATGGGGTTGTTTTACTCTGTTGTGTGAAATTGGAATTTAACGTCAGTTGCCCTGAGGTTGTGTTGCATCCAATTTTGTGTTAGGCTGATAGCAGCCTGTGAAAAGATTTGCAAGTGATGCATTTGGCATAAGAAGCAGAAGAATGTGCAAACGGACCAATTATTGCTTTCTTCCGTTTAAGTAGAATTCCCTTAAGGTTAAAGGTCCATTGTCTGTTTTTCATGACTGAGGCTTAAGTCATGTGAAACTCAATCAGAATGTGGTACTGAATCACTTGGATGTTTCACATTAGTTAGTGTGTCAGCCAGGCTTCGGTTAGTATCACTCTCACCTCTGAATCAAAAAAATATGGATTCAAGTCCCATGGAATCCTGTAGCGTATTGATTAGAATAATCGCCTCGCAAGCTAGAGGACCTGGGTTTGATTCTCGGGGAGGGCAAGACAGGCAAGTTTCCTTCCTCCACACTCCTCTGTTTTGTAAGTAGGAACCCGGTTGTTAGTCGTTTGGTGGATTGCTTTTCCGGGGGCAATAATCCCTTCAAAAAATAAAAAAATTAATTTGGTCACTCATTCCAGGATTGTTTGTGGCTGCCGCATTTCTCCCACAAAATATACAGACAATTCGCTTTATAGTATATTCTATGAAGTGCTTTGGAACATCTCGAAGATGCCATAAGGCACTGTATCAGATGCAGAAATTATTATTATTATTTTATCTAAACTGACACGCCAATGTATTGCTAGGGGTTTGTTGCCTTCCTATGGAAGAGCTGTTAAATTGATGTCCTATCTGCTTGTCCAGGTGGACATCATTCAAAATGAAAAGGGAATTTCTCCCACTGACTTGACCAACAGTCCCCCCCAAATAAGATTAGCCATTGGTTTCATAGCTGTTTGTGGGACATTGCTGTGCACAATAGGCAACTGCGTTTGCCTACAAATACTCAGTCACTCCTCTTTGCAGTAGATCTCGTAAAGGGCTTTGGGATGTCCTCTCGAGGTGAGAGGTGCTATACAAAACTCCTGGATTGTTATTGATTGTGTTACTTATTTTTCCAATTTTTTTCTTAAAATTTTTCCATTTACTGTATTTTTTGCCAGTTCTTTCCCTTTTCTCTGCTCGTCTTCTGCTGAATTCACCGACTCGGCAGTGCTGCTCCATTGTTCCCTGCAGGCCTCGTCCAAGAGGCCGTTCTTAAGGCATGAGTCCGAGCAATCTGTTTAAACAAGGAAAGGCCATCACATTTGAGACTGATCCTGTGCTCACCTGACATCTACACACATTAACTTGTAGGGAGGGTATTGCTGTGTGCAAAATGGCTGCAGTGTTCACCTACAAAATACACAGTCACTGCACATTGCACTAAACCCTGTGAAACTCTTTGAGACGGACTCCCAACATGAAAGCCACTCTATCAAGTGCAGAGCTTATCATTATCATTATTATATTAGAATTGTAATAATTGTTCTGGTTGATTTTTCTGCTCCATAACCTAAGACCACTGTAGCGCCTCAACTACTCAGACTGGTTAACAATTATGGGGTATTCTAGTCTGTGTGGTTCCATGCTAAATCTGTGGGTGGATTTACCTCTGTAAAACATGGAGAGAGGTAACTTCTATTTTTACTGGGTGCATTTAAACTTCTTTGGGCTCTGTCTTCAACTGAATATTAATTGAAATAAAACATCAGTTACAGCATTAGGGCAGCATTAACCTTAAGATTTTGACATATCAATGGAGACTCCTGGCTCTGGGCTGACTGGTTTAGTGCATTTTTAACTCAATCACCTTAATGCTAAAAACAATACATTAATAAAGTGGATCACTCACTAGAAATAACTTCATTCCTGTAAACATTACAGGAATAAAAAACAAAGTCCCGTCTATCTGATCAGGTAGACATTAAGGATCCCATGGTACTATCTGAAAATAAAAGGGAGTTTCTCCTGGTGAGCATTCCCCTAAATAAAATTAGTCATTCACGTCAAAGTTGTTTGTGGGACATTACTGCGTGCATATTGGCTAGAGGGCTTATCTATAAATAGATAATAGTAACAACAACAACACCTTGTATTTATATAGTGCCTTTCATTATAGGTGGTGTTGGAGTGCTTAAGTCACTATGCTTCACAGAAAAATCATATGAAGCGTTTTAAGATGTCTTGACAATTTACTTTATCAAATGCAAGATTATTATTAACTCTAAATCAATTTTAACTAAAAATAAAACTTTTAAAGAACTGTCCAGTTGACCACACCATTATCTTTTTACCCTCTTTCCTTATTTTCTCTCAAAAGTTTTTTTAAAATTCTAACTTTATTTTCTGGCTGTTTTTCTGTTTTCTTTTCTGATAATGGCGTGGTCAATGCAGTCAGTTCTTTAAAAGTTTTATTTTTAGTTAAAATTGTGATTTATAAATTTATGTAAGTGGTTTGCATGAGGATGCAATCAGTCGTTATGGGTCTTGTTGAAAAACAAGATGTTTATTCCTCACTTGCACTTACAGAGGCTAAGATCAATAATAATGATAATAATCCTTGCATTTGATATAGCGCTTTTCACGTCTTCTAGACGTCTCAAAGCGCTTCACAGAATAGACTAGACTGTAAAGTGAATTGACTGTATATTTGTGGGCGAAATGCGGCAGCCAATTGCACACAGCAGTGCCCCACAAACAGTCATGGATTGAAATGACCAATTTATTATTGTTTTTTTGAAGGATTATTATTGAGCGATCAGAGTTACTCTATCATAGAAAGAGCTGGGTCTGGAGTCTGTATTCAATGGGACTACATTATGGTGTCATTTTCCGATGGAAAAACATCGAAGATCTGCCCACTGCTGTTAGTTTATGTTGTCTGTGTAACTCTGTATAAAAGGAAAAACTAGTAGATAAAATACAAGGATTATTTGACTTCTATCAAGTAACATCTGTTAATTTTCTCTGAATCATAAAAAAACTATCCTACACTTGTTTAGCACCTTTCATACAGGAGCTTTGTGATTTATATAATTTAAATTGTATCTAATGCAAAATTAGCTTAATGGAAAGAGAATTAGAGGGATATAGGAGAGGGGAATAGAAGGGGTAATGCCTGTGTGGATTATAAACACTGGCACAGACTAGTTGGGCCAAATGTCCTGTTTCTGTATTGTCTCATTCTACGTAACTCCTTATAAAAGGAAAAACTAGTGGATAGTTTTTTTTTGTGTCACTGTGATGATGCTGTAAACCTGTACCTAAGACTGTTTCACGTGCTCCTCACGAGTGCAGTGGTGTTCAGCCTGTGAATCGTGGAATATTTTTGGACCATGAAAATGACCAATTTTACAACATTTGAAACAGTCCAAGGTGAGCGTGAATTAAAGCTGGAACGATGACAGGTTTTTAATTGAATTCTGGAACTCTTCCTAAAATAACCCGAGTGTGGAAAGAAAACAGCCTGAGATCTGCTGGTGTCACTTATCGAGCGGTCCATCAGCCATGGGAGGACAGGGCTACTGTGACCCTTGGCAAACCATTAACCTTTAGACAGCCACTCAGTCCACTCTAGCATTGTCTCCATGGACTGACTGCTTCTGCTCATTTCAGTAACACCGAGGAAATACCAGTTGGTTATTAATTTCATGGTTGTTTGTAAGACATTATTGTGTGCATATTTGGCTGCTGCGTTCGCCTACAAAATACACAGTTACTATACTTTACAATATATCCTGTGGAGTGGTTTGAGACGTCCTCCCCATATTATATCAAATACAAGGATTATTATTATAATATTGTGATAAAGCTTCTTAAACATCAGAATGTCTCTGTCAGTGAAATATTAACACTTAACTAT